GCCTATCGCGTCCCGCACTTTCGCCGCCGAATGCCAGTGCATCCTAGTCGACGTCCGTGGTCTGTTCGCCCGTCGTGCACCCGCGTACAGCCATCGCTGCCCGCGTGTGTTCGTGTGCATCAAGGCACGATGCGCGTTGCTGGCTCGTGCTCGCACCTCCGTTGCCGACTGACTCCGGCTGCTCGCTTGATGGCCATGGGTCCCAACCTTCAAACCCCATGCAGTCTCCAGCACGCCATAACCAGCCATCTTCCATTCTTAGCCTACCACGCCTTCGAAACTCCGAACACCATGCCCGTTTCTTCCTAGTGCACGACCCACAACAATGGCTCGCCTTTTTGCGTCGTCTCTTGGCCCTGCGCTTCTTAGCCTTCAACTTAGCCCGTGGACCACATCCTTCCGGCCAATTTCTCTCGCATGAAGGCCGATAAATTGGGCTTGATGGCTCCTCAATCATGTTCTTCAACCATAGATCGAGATTTCGATCATTCCATCGCTCGATTCCCTGGGGTTGATGACCACTTCCGTATCATTCCCCTCCTCTTCAAGACCTTCCTTGTTCTCAAGGATTAGAAAGTTTAAAGCACTTTTCTCTCCTTGGCTCGTGGCTTTGGCTTCCTCAACCTCTTTGGCACGCTCCTCTTCCAAGCGCTTCTGCTCGTGGAGTTCCTCCAAATATTCTAGCTCATTCGGAGTTAGACTCCTCTCTAAGCTTTCGAGATATTCGAGATCTTCGAGATCCATCTCGTCCAATGGCTCGAATCTCAACATGACTCTCTTTATTTTTTTTTTGTTTTGATACTCACGAAATTTTTTTCGAAAAATAAGAAGAAAATTCAAAAAATTTGGAACAAAGGGGGGATAAAAATCGGACAAAGAAAAAAGAATGGGATAGGAAAAGTTTAGCGAAACACACAATCAATCACTCTCAATGAAAGCACCAATGATGAAGGATCGTGTGTTTCGTTCCACTCGACTCGCCTTGAACCAAGCCCGCCACAGCTCGCCCTCGACTGATAGGTGTGATCGACTCGGTTATTAGCCTAACTCTCTCACGATACTTGAGTTCACTCGGTAATTAGCCTTGCTCCCTCAATTTTGAACTAGCTCGGGTCTTAGCCTCACTAATTCGATTGCATCATCGAACTCTCACGAATCCTAACACACGATTTCGAACAAACGTTCTTTTCTATTCAACTAATCAATTCTGGACATCTTAAAACAATGAGGGGATACTCCTATTTATAGATCCTAACTATGACTAAGTCTAATCTTACTAGGCAACTAATTAAAGTAATAAAATATTAATTCCAAAATAATCTAGATATCTTAAAGCAATAAGGAAACTAAATATCTAAAGGATCTTGTGCCTTGACTTGCACTCCAAGTAGGGAAGAATCATCTAGAGAACATTTAGCTCCAAAAGGACCCCTACAAGTCTTGTTTCTTGCTTGGCAAGTGAGCCCCGCACTGCTGCCTACTGGCTGCCTGCTCCCCTTGTATTGGTTTTGCCAATAGTGGAAGGTCGACCAGCACCCTCTTCAACTCCTCGAATGCTTTCTGGGCTTCTTCTGTCCACTGGAATTTCGAGCTTTTCTTGAGTGTCTTAAATAGGGGACCGCTTTTCTCAGCTACCTTAGAAATAAAGCGACTCAGGCCTGCTATTCGACCAGTTAGGATCTGTACCTCCTTCACCTTCGTGGGGGGCTGCATCTCGATCACCGCCTTCACCTTCTCCGGGTTGACCTCGATCCCCCTCTTCGTGACCATGTAGCCCAAAAATTTTCCCGATTTGACCCCGAATGAGCACTTAGCGGGATTCAGCTTCATCCCATACTTCCGGAGGGTCATGAATGTTTCTTTCAAATCGTTTACATGATTAATTTCCTCTTTGCTTTTTACCAGCATATCATCTACATATACCTCCATGTTCCTTCCCAGCTGATCCTTAAAAATTTTATCCACCAACCTCTGATACGTCGTCCCTGCATTCTTTAGACCAAATGGCATCACCACATAGCAGTATGTTCCCCGGCTTGTTACAAAGCTGACCCTTTTCCAATCCTCTCGAGCCAGTGGGATCTGATGATAACCCTGGGATGCGTCCATCAAACTGAGTAGCTCACACCCGGCTGTGGAGTCGACCAGCTGGTCGATCCTGGGCAGCGGATACAAATCCTTCGGGCATGCCTTGTTCAAATCTCGAAAATCTATGCACATCCGCCATTTCCCCTCTGACTTTGAGACCATAATCGTGTTCGATAGCCACTCTGGGAACTGGATCTCCTTTATGTGACCTGCCACCAAAAGTTTTTCTACCTCCACCTCGATTACTCTATCCATCTCTGCCCCATGGTGTCTCCTTTTTTGCTTCACCAGTCTTAACGTGAGGTGGATGTTCAACCGATGCTCAATAACCTCGGCCTTGATGCCGGTCAATTCCTCCGTCGAGTATGCGAACACATCCGCAAAATCTCTTATCACCTTAATTAGCCTCGATTTCACCGGCTCCTCCAATTCCCTCTCGATCCGGAACTTCCTTTCTTCGCAACCCTCGACCATCTGTATCTCCTCCACTTCGCCACCCGGCTGCATTTCAGCATTCTCCTTCCCCTTCTCTGGTTTATGTCTTTCCTCCTTCGACCTCGACCCTCCCGGTCGATTAACTTCCTCCCCCTTAGGATGCATCTGCCTCCTCGCTAGTTGCTTATTGTTGCTCACAGTGGTCTGGTAGCAGCTTCTCGAGGTAAGTTGATCCCCAGCGATCTCACCAACGTTTTCGCCCACCGGATATTTGATCGTCATGTGGTACGTGGATACGACCGCCTGGAACGCGTTCAGGCTCGTTTTCCCCATTATGATGTTGTAGGATGACTCAGCTCCTACGACCACAAATCTCACCATCCGAACCTTCCGAGTTGCTCCCTTTCCCAGTGCCACAAATAGAGTCACTTCTCCCATTGGCATAACCTCCCCGCCATTAAAACCATACAAGGCCGTGGCCACCGGCTTCAGCTCCACATTCAACTCCCGATTGATTTGTACAAAACAATCAGAAAACATGACATCGACCGAACTCCCTGTGTCTATGAACACTCTTTTTACGTCAAAACCTGCAACTTCAGTCGTAATTACCAAGGCGTCTGTTAGAGGTATGCTGTAAAAGCTGTGTTTTGCAGTTTCTATCAATTCCATTT